ACTGGGACTGTATTGAAACATTGAGAAATGTTTTGAACTGAGGGACTTAATTGATCGAGTTTCTCTGAATGGATTTCTGTTTACTTAAAACATCAGAGAACAATGTAAAGAAACATAGTGTATATCTTCCATAAAGTCAAACACTAATACAAAATTAGTAATCGATTAATAATTTAACAGTTACAATATCTAATAAAACTTAAAAAAAAAGATACTTCAAACACTTATAATGAACTTTTTTATTTGACTTACTTTCCAAAGGTCATAGTATTCAGTTTTTGTAACATTTCATCCGTTTGAAAAAAATAATAATGCTACAAAAGTTGTCTTCCCTTCATTGTACAATAAGAAAAAGAATTTTTTGCTTCTCAGTTTCAATGAAAAACTAAAGATTTATAAGACATGAGGACATGATATAAGACAAGAAAGAAAAGAGATTCCAGCCCCACACACTGTTCCCTGTAGCTCCAGTGCTCCAGGTGTCCTATACAACTTCCGTCAGGACTTTAGATCAGCGTTCAACTGACTCACTAAGACAGTAACTGGGTCAGCTCAGTCTCTGAGAGACTCTGTCGGGACCGTAGGTTAGTGTTCATCTGATTCACTGAGACAGTGACTGGGTCAATTTAGTCTCCGAGAGTCTCAGTCTTTTAGTTGGGACTATCAATCAGTGTTAATATGGACCCACGGAGACAGTAACTGGGTCAGTTCAGTCCCTGAGATCCGCAGTCCTTCAGTCGGGACTGTAGATCAGTGTAAATATGGACCCACAGAGACAGTAACTGCGTCAGTTCAGTCTCTGAGAGCCCCAGTCCTTCAGTCGGGACTGTAGATCAGTGTTAACATGGACCCACGGAGACAGTAACTGGGTCAGTTCAGTCTCTGAGAGCCCCAGTCCTTCAGCTGGGACTGTAGATCAGTGTTAGCATGGACCCACGGAGACAGCAACAGGGTCAGTATGGTTATTGTGAGTTGGGTTAGAGTCTTCTGATCTCTTTTTTCAAAGCCTGATTTTGAGGTTATATTTACTCCTCCCTTATACTTATCCATTAATAGTAATAACAATGAAGATATTATTTTACATCAAGCTTGTGTTCTTGCAATGAAAAAAATGAAATATAAAATATATTCAGTGTTTAAAATCAAGAAAAAAAACTAAAATCAAATTTATAATAAATAAGTGGCATATAGTGCACAGACATAACTTATCGATGGTGACGTTTATCCAATTTCATTGTAGCTAATCTATCTTTCTAACCCTTTCCAATCCTGCAGTGGGAGGATATGACAGAATCCCACAGAAATAAACACACACCGCAGGAAAGGAGCCACAGTGAGAGAGAGGAGATAACAGAGAATCACTTAATAATAAACACACAACAGGACAGGAGACACTGAGAGAGAAAGGTGATGAAAGAGAATCCACCCATCTGTACATTTTCTAAACACTTGATCCAATTCAGGGTTAAAGGGGAGCAGGAGACTATCGAGGTAAGTAACGAGTGCAAGGCAGGGTACACCCTGGATGGGATGCAGGAAACACAGACACAAACATGCAAACAGTTGCATTAGGGACAATTTTCCCAGGAGGCACAGTGAGAGATGAGATGGTAGAGAATGTCTGTACTGTATTAAGCCCTCTCTCTCAGTGCAGTGTTAATGTACTGGAGTGTCCAGTCAGTGTGTCTGTACTGTATTAACCCCTCTCTCTCAGTGCAGTGTTAATGTACTGTAGTGTCCAGTCAGTGTGTCTGTACTGTATTAACCCCTCTCTC